TTATATGGCTATTTTGGCTTCTACTTCAGGCTTTGAGGGAGCGATACAGAGTCCAGGCGACCTCAGAGCGAAGCAGAGCCAATTACAGTGAGCTGGACCAGAACACTGCTGAAACAGAGATGAGGAAAAGTGGTAGGTAATAATGATGAAGAAAAACTCAACAGCAAATATGAGGAATACATTGGTACTTCTTGTGGTCTCTGCAACTAGTGTAACAGATAATACAGACATTCACTTTAAATAAATTATGACGTTAAAAATGCATTTATTTCAGTAAGTCAAGTCACTGAGTGAAACACACAGACTAATGTTATTTGGCATTTACAGATAATAAAAGCATGACATTTAAGATTATAATGTTACATCAGACCAACAAAAAAAATAAAGTGTTTGGTACATGCTTAACGTTTATTGTCGGGTGCAGCGGTGGCACATGGGTAAAGTGTGCAGGTTCGACTGATGAACTTTGCTGAATGTTTCCCCCTCTCACTAGGCCTGTCACGATAGCAGATTTTCCTGGGCGATAAATAGTCCCAAAAATTATTGCGATAAACGATAATATTGTTTGAAGACCTTTTTACATTGATTTAATGGAAATTACGTAATAATACATGCAATTTCTCGCCAAAGATAGATTCACTTTACTTTCAAAAGAACACTTAACACTGGGACTGATACACAAAATAAACAAAACAACCAAAAACAAAAATAAAATAGATTCTCAGTCTCCATTAACAATAAATGTACTTGAATAAAAACTAAACAACATAAAGCCAAAGTGGAAGTAAATAATGCATTCAACCGAAAGAGTGCAGATTATGAAGTCTGTATAGTATATTCAGAGTTCAGTAAATCATTAGATTTAAATAGAGAAGAATCCGACTTCCTGATGCAATAGTTCAAACTACAGGATTTTTTTACCCCGGATGACAATCTTAGAACAATTTTAGAACAAGTGACAATCTTCGTTCTGAGATTGTCACTTGTGTGTTACGGTAGATCGTCGTGGCCGCTCCGATCTCCCAGGATTTGACCAGACTGGGAGAGTGACGCAACCTGTTGAATGTGACCGGTAGCCAATCAGAAAGCGCGGATTCTCCTCGTGCTTTCTGACTGAAAACACGGAGGGAATCCCAAACTGCTGACCCGATGCAACCCGAAGTCCAGCGGAGATCGGAAACAACATGAATGTTTATTCAACAGTTCGTGCAAAGAAAATATAAATAACTAGGGGAGGAGTTGGAGCGAAATTTCTACCAGAAAACCCGGTAACTTTTCAGCTGTTCCTTGTTAAATGGCCAAGCTATCTATCCCTGCCACTTCTTGTGGCTTTGATGTGAAAGCCACAAGAAGTTCAATCCTAATTTTTAAGAATTTTATATTTGTACATATAATAATAAATATAAATTTTATAAATACAATTCTTGCTGATTTAATCCATAGTTGTCTGATACGTCTGACAAAATTTAATAGACAAGGAAAATAAAGAAAGAAGGGTGTGTTTAAACTTCTGAAAAGAATGGCAAGATTGAGTAACTGAATTAATAAGCAAATAAATAAAATACCTAAATTGGTTAGCATTTACTAATTATGAATGACATGATTGAAAGTGACCAAAACACAGAAAGCAGTAAAACTCTGTTAGAAAGCAATATAACCCATGAGAGAAAGATAATGCAAGCTAATCTTATTGCACCACCTATGGCAGTGCACGAGTGGGGTGCAGTGAAATGCTAATGTCTGTGGTAACTGCGCAAGACAGTGCCCTAACCTCAGATCAGTATGGAGGCTTTTATTTTGAAATATTCAGTAAGCTTCACATTAAATGGCCAAGCTATCTATCTGTGCCAGTCCCTCCCCTCACACACATACAGACACACACACACACACACACGCACACACACAAAAATTGAGATTTTAAGAAATAGTCGAAGGGAATATAAGACACAAAATAGGGAACTTCAAACAAATATAGATCTTTTGAGAGCAAAAATTGAATGCCAGGAGCTGGCATAAGTAAGAGAAAAAAGCAGGAAGAAACAATATAGACGATCATTGAAATTACATCAATAGTTGTAATTTATCATGCGTAGGCCTGTCGCGATAAACGATAAGTCAATTAATCGCATGATAAGTTAAAACTATCGACCTCATTTTTAATGATCATCTATATCGTGTCATCTCTTACTGTTGATGACACTGAATGAAAAAAGGCTTGACTCTGGTGCTCTCCACTGACCCTCTCTTCCTTATTTCCTTAGTGTAATGCGCGCTGCACAATCTGATGTCGCGGATTGTCGACTCATTATCAAAACCTGAGAGACACATTAGCCGACAGAAATCCTCGGTATAACGGTTTGATCGAAACCGTGTTGTGTCCAACAATGGACACAAAATAATAAGTCCATTTCACTAACTTTGAAACCAGGCATTAATCAATTCCTTACTACAATCTACCTGCAATGCATGTGTGTCAGTCTGACTGAATGAAAATCATTATAACCTATTTATGTCACGTTAATGAAGAACAGCTGAAAAGTTACCGGGTTTTCTGGTACAAATTTCGCTCCAACTCCTCCCCTAGTTATTTATACTTTCTTTGCACGAACTGTTGAATAAACATTCATGTTGTTTCCGATGTCTGCTGGACTTCGGGCTGCGCCGTGTCAGCTGTTCGGGATTCCCTCCATGTTTTCCCTCAGAAAGCACGAGGAGAATCCGCACTTTCTGATTGGCTACCGGTCACATTCAACAGGCTACGTTCAGCTCCCAGTCTGGGCAAATCCTTGATTTATATCGGAGCGGCCACAACGATCTGTAGTTTGATCTGTAGTTTGATCTGTAGTTTGAACTATTGCATCAGGCAGTCGGATTCTTCTCTATCTAAATCTAATGATTTACTGAAGGGCAATATACTATACAGACTTCATAATCTGAACTCTTCTGGTTGAATGCAGTGTGGCTTCATGTTGTTTAGTTTTTATTCAAGTACATTTATTGTTAATGGAGACTAAGAATCTATTTTATTTTTGTTTTTGGTTGTTTTATTTATTTTGTGTATCAGTTCCAGTGTTAAGTGTTCTTTTTAAAGTAAAGTGTATCTATCGTTGGCAGGAAATTGCATGTATTATTACGTAATTTCCATTAAATCAATGTAAAAAGGTCTTCAAACAATATTATCGTTTATCGCAATATTTTTTGAGACAATTTATCGCCCAGCAAAATCTGTTATCGTGACAGGCCTAATCATGCGATTAATTATACCAATACACTACAGGCCTACCTCTCACACAATGCCCCTTTCTTCTTTACTCACTAATAAATAAAGGCCACAAGAGCTAAAGGCAATCTTTTCAAAACCTAATGTTAATCTGACAAATGTGTCTTGTTGGAACGTGTATTTTGATTTATGAAACATGTCTGAAAATGTTTTAGTCAAAATTGTTCTAAGATTAAATTTTCCATAGTTTGCTGACAATAAGCTGTTTAAAGAGGACAGGAATGTTACCATTGAAACAAATGTAGATCTATACGATGCTTCAAAGCAGTTTTGGAAGGCATCGTTTAAAATTTCAAAGTATATTTGAACTTTGCTTATTTAGCAAAGATTTTTATAATATCACTGCCTGTATACTTTAGTCCTCTGACTTTAAAAGACATTAAGATCACTTACATCCCTCAGCAGTATTCTGTTTATATGTCCTTTATGATTGCAGTCAACAGAAGCAATGGAAATATAGAAGTACAGGACACAGATTTACTGCAAGATAACTCCAGTGATGACAGTTTCCCAAATAGAAGGTATTACTTTAACTAAATGTAAAATGTTAAATTAAGAATGTCATTTTTAATATTGTGTTCCAAAAGAATTTAATTTCCAAATTTTCGGGTGTCACTAATTTTGTGTTTTTGTGTTAACTCCACAGATCCGCGGCTGGACAGTATCTGTCTTTCTCACCTTCTCTGAAAGGCTTGTTTGACGATGTGTAGTCAAATCAGGCTCTCTAAGGGAATCAAAAAGCCAATAAATGCTAGAAATTGTTTAAGTTATAAAGAATTTCAATATATTTTTTAAAGAAATTTGGAATGCAAAGGATTGATTCTGTGGAGTAAAAAGTATCCAATAGATTTTTACGGTATATAGATGAAACTGAAACTATTTAAAGAGCTGGTTTCTTGTTAAAAGAGATTGTAACAGACCCGGCTATATTTATCCAGAGTATTTGGCATTTTATTTTAACCAGCCCTTTTTAAAATGTAGATTTTAGTAAATTCCTTTGAATTAGTTTTACAGGTATTTTTAATAAACTTCTGCACATTTTGTTTTATGATTTTTTTAATAAATGTTGTATTCTCAAATAAGTCACATGAGCTGCTTTATCTAAAATGTTTTAACAAATACCTATTTTTTTTGTTTTTCTTTTGCTTTAAATTGACTTCTTAAAATCAGATGTATTTTATTTAGATGTTTTTTAAGTCTTATTTTGTTATATTTAACGTATCATAAATTACCTTGGTAATAAATGAAAGGGGAGGAGTGTAATCTAGATGCAACATCTGAGGTAAGGTGGTACTTTCTTTTCTTTGACTATTGTAATTACCTATGCGGTGAATAGAAAGGTATGTAGGTATAGATACTTCTAGAGAATTTAAAAACTGAATATGCCTAAGTAACTACATATTTTTCTAAAATGGAAATCATTAAGCATTTTAAAATTAGGTAGTTTAATTTCCTTTTTAATGTATTAAGGATATTAATTATATGAGATAGATATTTCCAATTCAATATATCTAAACAACATAATAAAGGAAAGAAAAAAATAAAAGAAAAACAATATATTTAACAGTTTATATAAACAGTAACAGGTTGCAAGTGCTGCATTTTGTCCTCTGTAGAATACGCTATTCCGTTATGTCCTTTAATGAAACTGATAACATTTCAAATATATAGCACACTAAACTCCTGATTTCCATAACAGACCGTCAATTAACTTTTTATCTATGCAAATTTGATCATACAGGTAGAAGTACTTCGCTGTTTTGATTTTTTCGTTAATAATGCAAATGTCGCACGGTCCGTAGAGGCATCACCACTGACTCTTCCTCTCCACACACAGACGTTGCTCCCTGCAGGCTCGGCTGTTTGTATGGCAGTAATGGAAACTAGTGAACCACCGAATATTGTAGCTTCGCTAATTTTCTGAAAAAAAGCAATCTTCTTTTTTTAAATATATCACAGATTAACATTTTTTTTAAAACCTGACATTTTAAAGTATTTTTTTCTGACGTCTATATCTGGTAAGTAAATAGTTTTCGACCTGTCTTAACGCCAACATGGAACAATCTTTGTTGCTAGCAGTGTTAGCTTTAGCTTCTAATATACTGACTGCTGTTGCAAGTAAATTGACAGCTCCTTTTTAGTTGTGCTTTTCTGATAATAGTTTGTATTATTTAGATTTAATTGACTCCTCTACATAACATTAACACATTCTGTGTTGTTATTGTTCTCGACGTTGACTCGAATCGACGATAAAACGGAAGTCTTTTTTAATGCTGTACAATGCTAACCGTTATTACAGTTGGAGAAATATCTCCCCTTATAATAAGCCCATAAGCACGTTTTAAACTGGCAAAATTTCATAAGGGTTTAATGTTGCAGGGATGTACATGTATTCTTTTTGTACAAGTTGCTTTTTCTCTTCAGACGAATCTATTTTTTGAGAAACATATCGGGATGTGGAAACACCAACAGTTGGAAGTTTTAAGTGAAATCAGCATGGTGTCATACCTTACTGAACTTCTTCATTTGTTTATTTGCCTTATCATTTACATTAACAAAGTACTAGGAAGGAGAGTTTCGATTTTACATAGCCTTTCAAAAAAATTTGCATACCTCTAAGACATGCTAACATTTTGTCACATTTAAAATCAAGCCTTTATATATTTTAATGGAATTTAATGCCATAGATCACAAAGTAACACATTATTGTTACATGGAATAAAAAGGAGGCATAGTGTGTTATCTTTGGTAGAAGATGAAGTCTCCACATCACTTTGAGTCTAAAAGTCCAGACGTAAATCCAATTGAAAATCTGTGACTAGATCAAAACAATGTATTTTCGCAGACACCTTCCATCTTGGCTGACTGAGCTTGAGCTACTTGAAGAAGTATAAGGAAAGTTCTGTAAAACCTTCAGGGTTTTCCAAAAAGACTTGCAGCTGTAAATTGCAGCAAAAAGTAGTTCTACAAAGTTCTGACTATACACATGTATCTATGCGACACCTTTGCTATTTTCATCAAACATTACAGCATCCAGGGCTGCACAGTGGTGTGGTTGGTAGCACTGTTGCCTTGCAGCAAGAAGCTCCTCTCACAGTCCAAAAATATGACTGTTAGGTTAATTGGTCTCTCTGAAATTCTCCTTAGGTGTGAGTGTGTGTGTGTGTTCATGGTTGTTTGTGCTGTCTATCTGTGTTGCCCTGTGATGGACTGGCGACCTGTGCAGGGTGTACCCCGCCTCTCGCACAAAATGTATCTCTGGAGATACAAGGGTGTAAGAAAATGCATGGATTACAACATCCAATCCTCCCACTTTATAGTTAAATATTTCGATTACTTGGTGCTGTCTGCAACATCTCCCCTGTTCTCTGCAGAGCTGACTATCTCTAATATCTCTTGCTAATGTTCAGGTATCCGTATAGAGAGGTAGAATTTCATAATTCAGGTCATCCTGTCTTTTGTTGACATGCAATGGGATCAGTGTGACTTTTACATGAATGCAATATATTAAAAGAAGGAAATTCTGTTGACATTTATTATCTGGTTTGTAGGCCGCCATGGGTGGACTGGGGAATGGTCGTCGTGGAGGAAGAGCCCCTCCTTTAATGGTTGCCGCCCTAATTGCCTGTATCTTAGTTTTGGGCTTTAACTACTGGGTGTCCAGCTCTCGCAACCTGGAGCTACAGGTAGGTGAACATACACATGTGTTTATCTGATGAAAGCTGGGTTTGTATCTTTCTACTTTGTACATAAAGAGCATTCAGATTTCAGCTTTCCATGCTGTGAAATAAGTTTGAAATGTATACTTGTTGCAGTGGTCGCTTCTTCCTTCATGTATCTGCCACACCCTGGGGTGTTGTTCACAGTTTTCATGATTTTGATTCGGATTGTAAAAACAAGTAGTTTGCACTGACTGGTATGAAGAACACCAGTTCTTGTAGTTTATGTGTATGAGGTATATAAAAATATTGAAATACTAAATCGTATTTTCTGTAGTTAGTGGCCTACTTCAAAAATGAAACAGGAAACCCTCATAAAACTCAACCCAGCTGTTTGAAGCTAAACTGAGCGTGCAAAACTACACTGTTAGAATCTGAACACATGCACCTGCAGCTTTTACAAAGAAACAACTACACCCACACTCAAGCTTGACAATTAAGACATTCCAATAGCTGTGATGTGCAATTGTTTGGAAAAAAAATCACACATTCTATGATAAAAAATGTTAAGAAAGATTTATGTGACAGATATGCACTCCTAAATCAGCACTGAGGCTGCAAATCCTGGACATGGGACAAGATTCTAACATTGGCTCTAAAGTAAAAATCAAATCTAATTTCTTCACTTTGACCTGAATTCTAAAAGACAGCTAGTTAATACCCATAACACTGAATTTGTTGTATTAATATTGATAAGAAAATTGTTGCTTGTTTGGAATTTTGTTGCTAAGAAGGTAGAATAAATTATACCAATACACGAACCATCTAATCCATGCCAATAAAATGTCATTTTAAAAATGCCATTATTTAATGTAAGTCAGGTTCAAAGACCTAAACACATTTTATTCAGACACATACTGCTGCTTCACAGAATCCAAACAAAGCAAAGTAGAGAAGCAGCATGTCGTTTCTACACACCTCACCTGTCTAATGATTTTCTGAATACCTGAAATCTGAGAAACTTTAACTACTGAAAGCATTGCTTTGGCATTATGAGTGTTGGATGCTGGCATTTGTTTTTGTTCTTTTAATTGAAAATCCTCCTCAGTGCACAGTTTGCTTGCTTTTTTAGTGCATTTTAACATTTGCATGTTTGGTTACATATCTTCCCATTGTGGTGAAGGTTAAGCATCCTCTTGACTAAACAGTGCCAGCGCAGAAAGCCTTCACAGGAAAGTACTAGACAAGGCCATGAGACCCGATAAAATATTTTTATTGCATTGTCTAAATTCTTTGTTGATTGCTCTGTGGCTTCTTGGATGAATCCTGTCGCTATCAGATGTGTCGTCTTGTTGTCAAAATGTGAGATGAGCACAAAGGGGTGATGTGAGCTGATCCAGAATCTGTCATTGTGTGTTTGAACAAAGACCAAACTGTATGAGCTGGAAGGCCAGGTGCGACGAGGAGTGGCTGAGCGAGGTGTAGCAGAGATGAAGAAGAATGAGTTTCAGGAGCAGATTCAGAAACAGGTGCAAGAGATCAATCACATTGAAAGCCTTCGCAGGAAACAACTAGAAGAGGTCCATAACACATACAGCCAAGAGAAGGTAAACACCATGACCACTTAGCCTTGGACTTGTAATAACAATCTAATTGGTTAAACAGTTAAAATACATAGTTCTACAAGATTTGGAGATTCCTCTTGTTTGCAGCCGTTAAAATTAATGCAACTGTTGGTTTTGCCTGCAGGCTAAATTGCAGCAAAATATTTCTGCCAGCACCAAAACCATAGAGGAACTCAAAGGTAGCTGTTAAAATGTAACTTCTGCTTTTCAGAAAGTGACTAATCATGTCAGTGTGAAGCTAACTTGTCTTACACTGTGTTTTTTCTGCTCTGCAGATCAGCTGAATCAGATGAACAATGACTTGGGGAAGCTTCAGAAAGAGCTGCAGCGTTGCCAGGCCAACACAAGCATCCTCAGCAATAAGCTCACTGTTGACATGTAAGGAGTTTGTTAGAAGTTCTTAAGACAAGATGCTTATGATTAGCTTGATTCATAATACATTTATTTTTAAAAGTCACAACAATATTTCAACTAGATTTCTGAAGTTTTTCCACAATTAGTTACACAAATCATAATTAATTACAACCACAAACTTCAATAGATTTTCTTGGGCTTTTATGCAAGTTACCAGTGCAAATAAGTAAATAATGGCTTTTGTTCTGCTTCCTGTTCTCTGATTCCCCTAAATGGAATCACTTGCAACCAATTACCTCCAACAATTACAATATTATTAAATCTTCTTTGTTTAATTTAATATCTGTATAAAACAATCTTTTCTGTGAAGGCCTTAGAGATTTGTTCGAGATCATTAGTTTCTATGCCTTACATAGATGCCATATGTAAGGCATCTACATAAAATCCTTAAAAAATACTTTGAAGTTTGTGTTTTCAATGTGACAAATTATGGAAAAAGCTGGTTATCCATACTTTGGTGATTGACTGTAAAGTTGATGGTTAACATGAATCTGTTGGATTGAAATGTTCTTGCAGAGCTCACTGTCAGTCTCAGGTTCTGTCCCAAAAGAAGCTGTGTGATGAGAAAGTGGCTGCTGTTAAACATGAAGTTCAGAAGAATGTTCAGAAAGTCGTTCCGTCTGCAGGCGCTTCCACACAGGTAACTCAGCTCACCTGTTTGACTGTATGTACAGGGATGCTTCCCTCATAAGTAAAATAATCAAAAGTCTTTAGCTTTGGAATTAAGGTCAGGAACGAGGTTGGAGAGATCGCCTCAGTCGCTTCAGCAAGAATTCAATTTTAGAAATTGAATTCTTGCTCGTTGCAAAACGACCAGGGCTGTTGGACCAATAGTACCGGGGCGAACGGAGCTGGGCTGGGCCAGGCCGGACCCTACAGTGCAAAAAGGCCACTCAAGTTAGAAATACTCCAGAGATTCAAGAATAGTTACTGTTTATATGTACTGATAAACAATGTTTTGTTTATTTAGTGAAAACTCTGAAACAGTTTCAGTGTCCTTACACAATCACAGTGACACAAAAATGTTGTCTCATTTTCTTTTTCTGCTCTTTGTTTGCCTCAGTAGGCAGTTAGATGCATATTTAGAAATGCTGTTGCACATTATACATGTTAGTGCAATCATATCAAAAATAATAGGGGTGGAGGTGAAACACTTTTCGCTTTGTGGGTTCTTCTGCTTGACTCTTTTGTCTCAGCTTTGATGCAAGTAAGAGTAGTTTGACATTTCCCCATCAGCAGAAAAACGCAGAGGCTGGAGAACAGAGTGAAGAGCCAATGGTAAAGGCCGCTCCCACAGAGGCTGAAGCGGCAGCTGCTGTGAGCCAGAAACCAAACATGCCTCTGGGCATAGGAAGTAAAGCTTCTGAGCTGCTCAACAACATCAACACTGACAAAGGTAACAACAACAAAACAAACAAGAGAGCAGAGTAATTCTCGAGTTAAAATAGGTAAATGTAAAAAAACAATCCAACATCATTATTTTTGAAGCATATTTATTAACATTAAACATACAATTGTTGGCGTTTAGATTTTCAATAATTCTTGGTTATCATTAAAACTGTCATTGAAAAAAACGATTTCACTTCCAGAGTTGTCAGAACAACCTCTGATAGATGATCTATCTAAAGCCGAGTCCCAGACTGTTCCATTGACCGCTTCAGAGAATCAGAACAAACTGCAGCAGAAAGAGGGAGAAGGGAAAACTTCTGAGGCAACGACCAGAAAAGGTTTGACAAACCCTCTGATGAATGATAAAGACATAGAAGTGATGGACGTTCATGAGGAAGATGTCCAAACTGAAGGTGAATTGAAGACGGTATATAGAAATGGTTTTCTGTCTGTCGGTGTCGGTGACATTATTCTAAACAGCAGTTCTTACAGAAGCAGATCCTGGAATGCAGGACATCCTAAATGGTCAAGAAAAGGCAGAGGAGACGGCTAATGGTCAAAGGCCTGAGGAACCAGATGAATATGACGGAGATGAGCAAGTTGTCGATGGAGTTGATCTGGAGAAACAGAGAAGTAAAACAGCCAAAAATATGCTAAACATGTTTCTTTTCATTTTGTTCTATTTATATGTAGTTGCAGAATATATTTTTTTACTACTGTTTTTGTATTTTTGACAGATAAAAACACAGAGGAGGAAATAGCTGACTACAATGGCGACGATGAGAATGAAGGAGAGTTCGAAGCTGACAAACAAATTGCACTTGCTCAAAACTGAGGTACATGCTGAAATTTATACTCAGGGTTCATTTGGTTTCTTATTGAACTGCAGACTAATTGTAGCAAATAAGTAAACATGTCCTACATAGTCTTTACAGGTAGATACACATTTCAAGTATGCTCACACTGCACACAAATGGCATTACCCAAAGCACTAGAGGTTTTATATTGCAACAGATTTTGTTGTGGCAAAATCACCAATATTATCGCCTAATATCATGCAGTCCTATTCCACAATAACATTTCCATTTCTGTATTAAATTTATTCTAAAAATCATAATTTTTGAAGAATAAATATATTATTAGTGTTATATTTTTAATCTAACACTATCAGTACAACAGTAATTGATCTAAATGAATGTATGGATGATATTATTTCAGTTGCACCAGCAACATAATGATATCATCACTTTTATTTTGTCTCACTAACAGAATCCTGCTGCTGTTTTGCAGAGATACAACAGAAGAAGAATCCTCCAACCTTTCCCATTTCAGAGAACGAGATGTTGTGCACCACAGCTCCGCAGCACCCAGGCAAACGGCAAAAGCACAAACCACTTTCGGCGTTTTCTTGAACTCGTTTAGATGATCAGATGATCAACTATCGTCATTCCTCATTCAAGAACATGTCATCTGTTACCTTTCCTTTTCTTTTTTTTTTTAAATTTGGGTTAGTGAATGTCAGACATGACTGAAGACATCTCATAGCTTGACACCATTTGGACCATGTCGATGTGGATTAAAATGACAAGTATTTCATGATGTGTTGACAGGTCTTAAGGTCATTTGATAGCAACTGTGAATTCAGATATCAACTTACTGCTGTAGGGCTTCAGGGTGTGAAATACTGAGATGAGCTTCAAGATCTGAGTGCTTGCTGTGACACGCATCAGCCACCAGAGAGCGCAGTTACCTTTCTCCTTCTTGCGTCTTTAACAAGCCTTCATCGTTCTGTATAGTTTCTTAGAGCATTTTTTATATTTGACTTTATTTTAAGTCAGTATTCACCCATCTCTTAAACATTCTTTAAGCTTGCAGCCCTGTAACAGAAGGAAATTACCTTTCCTGTAGTTTCCTGCTATATTTCGCTCATTAAAAAATGCTGTATTGTAGTTTAGTTTAGTTATTGGTCATTCCTAAAAATAGATTTAAAAAACCCCACACAAACACAATTAGAGTTTATAGATGATTCAAACATTTTGTTTGAAGCATAATTTTATTGCAGTAAAGTTACATTCAGGAATTAATTCTACACCACTGATGAAATGTTCAGGCACTTCATTGGGAACAGGCCATCCTTCTAAGCTGTATTTTCCACAGAGCATCATGTGGGTTACTGTTTGAGTCTTTGTGTGTTTGAGCTAGGACACAGAGATGCTGGTGTTGCTGCTTCAGGATGTATCTGCTTTTGTTGTCTGGTTGTGTTTCAACATCTTAATCTGCTGACTCTGGAGGTCAAATGTGGAAAGATGGTGAAATTACTCGGTGCGCTCACAGTGTGCTGCATCCTCTGTGTCAGTATCCGGCAGGGACTTCACAGAATTGCTGTATTGTAATTGTACACATTTAGACAAAGCAGGAACATGAAATTGTACATCGTGGCTCCTCGAAGCCAGTAGATGTGAACTGCAACTCTGAAATATGCTCGTGCATTTCATAGTGAAGTTACACTGAGCTGGAAACTGGGTAAGTGCAAATATAAGCTAGTTGTAGATGTAAAAAGTAACAAAAAGTAGATCTGAACTTTTGAAGGAAAATTGGTTTCCTTATGATTTATGCAGGACAGGAAATATTTTATTTACTCAATGTCTGTGTAATATAGATGTAGTGAAGTAGATTTTAAGTTCCCGAATGTTTTTATCATCAGTTGTCTGTTCCAAGATTACATAATCTAGAAGTTAGAAATGACCTTCCTAGAATGTTTTTTGCATATCTGAATGATTTCCCTGCTGTACGTTGTGACGTTTGTATTGTTCTATAAGTGTAGATGTTATGCAGCCTTGTGGCTGAGATGACAAATGTTGGAATATAACTCTTGAGATCCTGTTTCTCTTTATTCTTCATTGGTGTGAATGCCTAGAGCATTCACACTATTGAGTTCCACCATTCTGGTTGCTCTTTGTGCTATTTTCACCATTCAACTTTCATGCTATTTAGCTTCCTCTCCTAATGCCGACAATGTCTCTTGGTATTCATAACCTGTATGCTTTTTATAGTATTCAGCTTTTTCTGAATTTTTTACCCCGTGGGGGAAACCGCTCGATCCTGTGGCAGAATTGAGAATTACAATATAAAATGTCCGTTGTGTTTCACAGTGGATGATTTCGGTCCGGCCTATTAATGGCAATCAATCATCCAGTTTCAGGACTGTCATGGAGGACACAAAGGCAGTGGCCATTTTGAAGTTGGTCAGTTTAACACCTGGGAATATTTTGAGCTTTTCTTGTTGCTTTTTTTTTCATACTGCATGTGACATGGTTTTTATAGTCACCGTGCTAAATCTCAGAAATGGTGGTGGAATGATAGCCAACATTTGTTTGCAGATATTATTTCACATCGTTTTGCCAGGCAAAAGCTTCTCTGACTGTCTGCTCCTCATGTTCGTCACTCCCTCCTCCCCCACATGACTCCTGCACCTGCGACTGGAAGTGCCACTTTTCCATGTCTGCCTCTCTTCCTAGGCAGACATGCTGTGGTAGCCTAGATGCCATCGTTAGTATTTTAGCTAGTTTTAGCTTTTTAGCTAATTTTGGCTTTTACATGGGTTTTTCACACTGCATGAACTAGTTCTTACCTTTCTGCAAATCTTCAATAGTTGGCTTCAAACGCTTTTGCCATTTTTACCAAACGCATTCAGCGTTCACACTTGCATTTTCATGGGAAATGCACACTTTCTAGTGACATTTTGAAATACAGAACAAAACTCCAAAAATGTTGTAAATGTAAATAAACTCATAGGTTTCTTTGTTATCTAAACCTTTTTGCAGCATTTTTGGACTCACAAACTTCATAGTGTTAAAATTTTGTCATTTTTCTTTTATTATGCTGAATAATAAGATCTGACACAAAACCCTAGCAAACTGGAGATCTGTTAATTCATTAAGCAGCTTTGTTTATTTCCATAATCCGAAGTAAGGAGTTGCCACAGTTTCAAGAAAAATGTCAAGCAGTTTAGCTGGAATCACAAAGTAACGTACCTGCTAACAAGCAGAAAGCTGTAATGTAATAATTTTTACCAGAATTATTTAATGTCAGCCTTGATGCAGAACTGCCAATGAAAATCCTCGAGTACAAGATTTTTTTGTTTTCTTTCTGCTTTTACATATTTTACTATTGTCTGTTAATGTTAAGTTTAGACATTAGACAGTTTAATTGTGATGTTCAAATACTTTATCTGTATTTAAAAAATAAATAAAAAAGACAGTTTTCTAAAATGCAAATGTGCTAACCTTAAAAGAAAATGTGTTTTATTTTTTTGTTTTGATTCGTTGCTATGACATCATTTTACTTCTAAAATGAAAGATTTAAATAATCATGTTGTTTTATTTACAATAGAGTTGAATAAAAAATGTTTTATTAGTATTGGTTTTTGTGCTATTTCTCATGACCAAAAATGATATTTTTCCTTCCATCATTCCACAATTATTTGCATCGTTTCTATTTTGACCAGCGAATATGTTCTTGTAACATTTTGAGGTCTTTCTGCTGATAGCAAGAAACATAATTAACCATATGCCTTCACTGATTACCCAACATTTCATCATTAGATTAGAAGTTTTTCCATTTTTGGTCTGTCTTCAATTCGAAGGGAAGTTTTCAGTTTTTTTTCCCCACCATTTTAGTTTAACTTTGCTTTTCATTCACACTACGTTGTTCTTCTTAATGATGTCTGAAAAAAAACCAAACATTTTATTTAGATTGTCAAAGAGGAATATCCTATAACTAGCAAATGCAACATGTTTCATCATCAGAATAACTGAACTCGTTTACCTTTTATGGATTTTGCCTGAGCAAAATTCCAACTTTTAATGGCAATGTGAAAGCACACAATCTATTGGGTCAAAAAACATTTGAATAATTATCTACGCGTGCGTTCAGATAAAAATGTACCACAGTATTTTAGTGATACAGTTAGTTCAAATGCAAAGCAAGGTGTACAAAGAAAATTTGCTAGCTCATTGCTTTTTCAGTTTAAAAAATTCAAGCTCAGCAAGTGGGACTATGAACTGAAAGCCTACTTCTCAAAAGGTCTACAGGGATATATTTTAGCAGTATTTAACAGTGTACTCACAGCCATAAATTGTCAGCTACGCTTTTTGCTCTCGATTTCATTCATCTCTGAAAGTTCTAACTTTAATTTAACTTGGGAGTGAACTGATCTTCATTTGATTCACATTTTAAGTAAACAACTCTCCGAGTAGTTTTACTTTCCATAAACTCTGACCCTCCTTTGGCCAGATGCAGCAATAAATTTAGGCTAGAGGGATAAAGTGTGAACTTTATGCTGCTGCATGAATAATAGGTTTATTGAACTCTGGAAACTCACACATACAGTTCTCTGCAAAATAAAATACTATGTCATATAGTAACTTTTACTTGGATATATATGAAAAGTTGGTTTAACTCTTGCTATAAGGCTATTTTTAAAAGATTTGTTTAATCTGACAAACTTAATTAGAAAATATATTTTAATTTATTGCATATGACTAGGTATTAAAATTTCTTGAATGTATGTAACACTTTTTTGTTCATCTCAGGTCCAGTAGGTTGATTTCATGGCCGACACATTCAGGTTCATTGTATTTATTCTGACAAAAGAGGAAATCAAGCTGGTGGTTAACATCAACAGTACAGATGGTGACAGGAAGAGGGGACGAGCAGTCATAAATTTGAAGAATATATACGTTTTGACAAGCTTCACAGCTATAATAATGACATAAAATGTACCACAACAACAGGACAAAATTTACTGTGACCTTTACAGGAACTTCTTTTAGAACGAGGTTGTCCTCATTTGTTTCCTGTTGCTAAAATGTTGCTACTGTTCATTTAACACATCCATTCGTCCATTTATCTTCTGTGCTGTTAAGTTCATTTGACTGATGCACCATGATAAAACAGGTTTTAGGGGAACTTGTAATTGGCTGCCTAACCAGGCTAGCCTATGGCAAAAAGAAAAAAAAAAGTCCCCCAGACGCTGATAAGGCCTATAAAAGACAGAGCGTCAGTCAGACACCAGAGGTGATCCTCATCAAGAACCACGATGGAGCATTGCTTTGTACTCCTTTTGCTGGTTGCAGGTGAGTTTTTTCCTTCTCCAGCTACTTAGACTTAGACTTGTACTTTATTGATCCCTTGGGAAGACTCCCTCAGGAAATTGAAGTTACCAGCAGCTTACAGGCAGAAAAGTGGCCTTAGACCTCGGCTGAAAGTTGTTCGGTAGACATTCTGCTTTGTGTGTTTGATACTTGCAGCACGCTGGATGGCTGTTGTTTCTTCCTTTTCAGGTGCTGCATCAAACGCTATTGAGAAGAGGATTCTTGGGAGTAGATCCTGTGACAAGGATCGCCAGTACCATGTCCAGATAGAGTCCGCTCAGGGCGGGAAGTCCTGTGCAGGCGCTCTGCTCAATCCCCGCTGGGTCATCACAGCTTCTCACTGTGCAGAGCAGTAAGACATCCGCAGATCTCTTCTATTTGCGCTTTATTTTATTTTTTTGAATTACTGACTTTGCAGCAGTGTGTTTGATGTGACAGTTTGAGCTTCCACTAATTTCACTACAATTTTGTTTTTTTTTTTTTTTTTGCAGGACAGTCACAGTGAAGCTCGGCATAAACAATGATGTGTCCTTTTTTACAAAAACTGTCTCTTGGTTAAAAGGCAAATCCAAAAAACTCCAACAAACTATTCCGGCCAAACAGCAGCACACCTTCAAAGATGAAGAAGGAAATGCCCATGACATTATGCTCATCCAGCTGAATGAGGACATGTCAGTCAAACTTCCCACCATCAGCCTCCCTTCAGGAGAATGCACCAAGCTAGAGCCAAGAGCAAAAGTGCAGATTGGAGGAATGGGAGCAAAGGCAAAAGGTAGGAATATTTAAAAAAAAAAAAAAAGTCATAAATGAAACAATTTATTTTTAGTGAAAGGAAATGACATTTCAGGATTTTTGTTTTTATCAGGCGGTAAACCGGTTGGTGAGGTCAGATGTGCCACGACAGTGATCTCTGAGTGTGGAGAGAATGATAAACCTGACAGAAAATACAGCAACGGTAAATCTACAATCTGTGGCTTCTTACCTGGAGTGGAGACCTGCTTTGTAAGACAACCATTTCACTGATACATATACATATTTAATACTGTAGCTTTGTTTTTTGACACTGTTCCACATGTAAAACCATCCTGCCTCTGATTTCTGTGTCTCAGGGCGATGCAGGCTCAGCTGTGGAGTACGAAGGATATCTGCAAGGAATTATTGTTAGCCAGCCTGCGGATACATGTGCTAACTCCATTGTAATGCTGGACATCTGCCAGTACATGGAGTGGATTGGCAAAACAATGAAGGAAAACTGATGAATACTTTCCAGATATTCCTTATTTAATAATTAAAATGACTATCATATTTACCTATTTCTTTGTGCTTATTAGTCAAACTATAGCCTGTAATCTTAGATAAATATTTCAAAAGTATGAGTTAAGACCATAGTAAAATACAGTACTTTTGTCCAGCTGCCCATTTTCCCATCATTCATCTCCATAAATAAAAAGATAGAACTATCATAACTTCATGCTTTGTCTGCGGTGTGCTATGTGTCTGCTATCTGAACATTCAAGGTCTCATTTCCATAACTGAAAAACCATTATCATGTTTGAGTTTCACTTCCAGTTTTCAAACTGGAGCGTCAAACTCTTTCTAATATCCAGTGTCACATCATACAATTCATTTCCCCACATTTTTAAATACTAGCTCAGCTCAACCTACCATGGAGCAGAGCAGGATGCCTTGTCTCAATCCCAACACTATGAACACGACTTACAGGTAACG